TCTTTTTTACTATTTACTAGCTTTATCTAATCATATAAAATCTGCTACTACATCCGTATATTGAACACTTAAAACATTTTTAAAATTGCAGAGTCATATGCTCATAATGGTGCAGGAACTATAGACATATATCTTAAGAAATAATAATAAGTAACTGCTATTCCAGACCAAGCACCACAGTCTCTACCTCCCTTACAGTCACAACCCCCTTCAGGGAAATCTTCCCCCTGATGCTTATACTACACATGACTAGGCTTTGCCTTTATAGTTTGTCACCCATGTAGACATCCCTATACAATATTACTGCATTTTGCGTGCTCTTAAAATTTATCCAAACAAAAACCAGGTACAATGTGACGTTTTCTGTTCAACATTATACTTGTAAGATTCCTTCATATTTTTTTTTTTTGGTTTTTCAAGACAGGGTTTCTCTGTGTAGCTTTGCGCCTTTCCTGGGACTCACTTGGTAGCCCAGGCTGGCCTCGAACTCACAGAGATCCGCCTGGCTCTGCCTCCTGAGTGCTGGGATTAAAGGCGTGCGCCACCACCGCCCGGCTCCTTCATATTTGTTTCTTTCTTTCTTTCTTTTTAAGATTTATTTATTATGTTTACAGTGTTCTGCCTACATACTAGAAGAGGGCATCAGATTTCATTATGGATGGTTATGAGCCACCATGTGGGCGCTGGGAATTGAACTCAGGACCTCTGGAAGAGCAATCAGTGCTCTTAACCGCTGAGCCACCTCTCCAGCCCCCTCCTTCATATTTCTTAAGGATGTAGTTTATTTCCTTTGTGTAGTGCTCTCATTTGATTCCCTGCCTACTTTGTCTCATTAATGCTCAGGAAATAATGTATGGGACAAATGATTTCATGAATGGATAAACCTGTTAGCATAGAAATTTCTCTACCTATCATCTCCCCAGAAGTAGCAACACAGCATCTGCTTCCATCAGTCACTGGATGAGATTTCTAGCACGACAGTTAGGGTGTTTGGCCATCCCATCACCAGAGTAGGTCAGTTCGGGCTTTCTCTCACCCATTGCCAGTAGTCTATTGTGGAGGTATCTTTGTGGATTTCTGGGGACCTCTCTAGCACTCTGCTTCTTCCTATTCCCCTGGGGTCTTCATTTATCATGGTCTCTTTTTCCTTGTTCTCCCTCTCTGTTCTTGATCCAGCTGGGATCTCCTGCTCCCCTAAGCCTTTCCCCTGACCCTTGCCCTGATTACCCCTCCCCTCACCCCTCTTTTGCTCATGTAGATCTCATCCATTTCTCTGTCATTGGGCCATCCCTGTGTCTTTCTTAGGGTCCTCTTTACTAGCTAGCCTCCCTGGAGCTGTGGATTGCAGTCTGGTTATCCTTTGCTTTACATCTAGTATCCACTTATGAGTGAGTTCATACCATGTTTGTCTTTCACAGGAAGCCATATGGATTAATTGGAATAAGTTTACTGCTACTTTGTAAGAATAGCCCCTAATAAGTGAGAAACATAACTGATAGTTCTTGGAAGAATTAATAAGAAGTTCAAGGCCAGGTGAAGCAGATGTAGAGGGCAGATTATACCCATCTGAGATTTGTAGTAGGGTACCAGCAAGGAGTTAGGTATTGAAAAGTAAGGAGTTAGGGGCCTAGAAAATGAACTCCACCTCCCCACAGTCTATGTTGGGCCTATCTTCAATACACAAACCTTGTATTTTGTGTACACTGTCTATGCACACATGTATTTTTCTGAAGTGAATTCATACTCTTCTATTTGAAGCTCACAGAGCACCTGTTGAATGTTTTGTTGTTTCCCAATGCAGGTGGAAAGCACCAAGAGCTCAAGTGCAACCCTCCCCACCAACGTGCCCTCCTACAGGTCCCTGTCCTCCCATGAGGATTGCCCTAGCAGCCACACCAGCTTCTCAGATGGCGAGCTTGCCCGGAACGTGAGGGAAGGTGTCAAACATCGAATCTTCTACCTCTCAGAGCAGCTGAGAGTGGAGAAGGCCAGTAGGGATGAGAATACCATGAGCTACCTCAAGCTGGTATCCAAAGCTGACCGACACCAGGCTCCACATATCCGACAGGCCTTTGAGAGGGTGAACCAGCGCACCTCTGCCACTATTGCTCACATAGAACGAAAGCTCTATCAGTGTCACCTGCAGCTGAAGGAGCTGGAAGAGGGCTGCAGCCCTACAAGCTCAGTGCTGAAAGTGGGCAGTGGCATGGACAGCCATAAGCCAGGTGGGGAAGATAGCTTACCCATCAACATAGCTAGGCCCTACACTCTGGAAGGTCACTTGTCAGTCTTGCAACAGAGGAAATTCTCAGACAAAAAGTATGTGGCCCAGCAACAAAAGCTGCTGTTGCAGAAGATGAAGGAAGAACTGACAGAAGCCAAGAAGGTTCATGCTGGCCTTCAGGTCTCTCATCAAAGCCTCAAGGAAAGACATGTGACTGATGTGCGGGAGATACTCGAGTCCCTCCAGGAAAAGAAAACCAGGTGAGGAAAGCCCCTTTTTACACCTTGGCTCCCAAGACAAGAAGCAGTCAAGAGATAATTTAAGATCCACCTATGAAGGGTTGAGAAGGAGCCAGGAACAGAGTCAGAGTGAGGGCAGGTGAGAAGAGCAGGTCTGTGCTTCTCTTTGGTGGCTGTTACCTCCAGTAGAATGAGTGTTTTTTTTTTTCCCTGCTGCCTCACACCAACCTTTACCCCTTTCTGGTTAAATAAGCTGTAGCAATGGAACAATAGAGGCATCCAGGTGCAATGGGATCCTGGAGACTGCTAGCATTAGAAAGGCAATGTCCCCTAGGTCCCATTTGCTAGGAAAGTTTGTCTGGACTCAAGTCCAAACTGGAGTACAATGTCAGGCACTGGATGTATTGAATATTCAGTTTGAAAGTAATTACCTTTTGTGAGTGCTTTGTCTTCAGTATGCTGTGGCTTGAATTCATTTTTTCCTCTAAGACAAAAACAGGGGTCCAACAACTTGAAAAGAGGCAAGCTAGGCATTCGCTGTGTAGTGATTTCAAGGCCAGCCTTCAATACACAGTGAGACCCTGTCTCAAAACAACAACAAACAACAAAACATAAATCTAGTCTCTCAATGGATCCGTTCCACTCCCGTTGCACTCCTTCTCTGGTTCCCCACCAGCCTTGGGTACCTTGATCACTCTTATGTCACAGTCAGCATAGTCAATGATAAATTAATACAAATACACTCAACAGCCTAGGAAAAGAAGGAGGGGTTACTTTAGTAATCCAAGAGTCTTAGCATATTCATGAAAATAAGGACTCTGCAGTCATTTTAGTACCTATACATGCAAGGAAGAAAACGCAAATGGGAACCATTGTCTTGGGTTTTCCCAGGGATTCCTAGGGGCATTCGTGCATTTTAAGAATCTGTAAGGAGACATTAGTGAGCATCATAAAGAAGCCTATCATTAAGTGAGCTAGCCACTGAGAAATACAGGTTTCACTACTGTTATTATTTTCATTGTGTATATTCATAGACAATTTTGTTTCTACTTTCATTTCACATATACATACATGATTTTATGCATTTTTAGGTTTTATTTTTTATTTTTATTTTCTTTGGCTTTTTGAGACAGGGTTTCTCTGTGTAGCCCTGGCTGTCCTGTAACTCAATCTGTAGCCCAGGCTGGCCTTGAACTCACAGAGATCTGCCTGCCTCTGCCTCCCGAGTGCTGGGATTAAAGGTGTGCACCAACTACAGTCCTGTTTTTAGTTTTTTAGGTTTTTGTTTGTTTGTTTGTTAAAAACAAACAAAAAACAAAAAAACAAAAACCTCCTTACTGATGATCCCGGTAGTAGCTGGGACTAGTTTCCATTCCAACCAGCAGTATAAAAAGGAGTCCTTTTTATTCACATCCTGACCAGCATTTGTTGTTTGTTTTGTCTTTCTGACAGCCATTCGAGAGTTGCAGTGTACTTCTGATTTGCATTGAGGAGGAACATTTTTTATATGCTTGTTGGCAGTTTATGTTTCATCTTTTGAGAACCATCTGTTAATTTCATTAACCAATTTATTGAATTGTTTTTATTTTAATGTTTTACATTTATGCATTGTGTATGTGTGTGTGTGCATGTGTGTACAGCATACATGTGGAGGTCAGAGGACAATTTGCAAGAGTTGGTTCTCCCCTTTCACCATGTAGGTCCCAGAGATCCAACAGGAAAGTGCTTGCTAACCAGACACAAAAGAAAGAAAGATTTCTTTTTACGTTTTAAAAAAAATTCATTGTAGGCTGGACAGTGGTGGTGCATACCTTTAATTCTAGCACTTGGGAGGCAAAGGCAGACAGATCTCTGTGAGTTAGAGGCCAGCCTGGTCTACAGAGCTAGTTCCAGGATAGCCAGAGCTACACAATTAAACCCTGTCTCAAAAAAACAAAACAAAACAAAAATCATTGTATATTGCAGATTATTTTTTCTTTTTCCAGAAAGGGTTTCTCTGTGCAGCTTTGTGCCTTTCCTGGAATTCCCTTTAGCCCAGGCTGGCCTCGAACTCACAGAGATCCGCCTGCCTCTGCCTCCCGAGCTCTGGGATTAAAGGTGTGCGCCACCACTGCCCTGAGTATATTGCAGATATTAATCTTCTGTCAGATGTATATCTAGCAAAGATCTCCCATTCTATAGGCTATCTCTTCATTCAATTACTCTTTCATTTTTTATGTCTTATTTAAATTTATTCTGATTATGAGATTATATTCTGAAAATAATTACCTAACAATTTTTGTAGTTTTTTTTATTAAGAAATTTTCTATTCATTTTACATATCAATCACAGATTCCCTTGTCTTCCCTCCTCCCACTCCCCAGCATTACCCCCCAACCCACCCTCCTTTCCCGCCTCCTCCAAGGCAGGGTCTCCCATGGGGAGTCAGTCTAGCCTGGTAGATTCAGTTGAGGCAGGAGGAGACAATTACTCTTTCTTTTGCTGTATAGAAGCTTTTTAATTTTAAGAAGTCCCATTTGTCAGTTGTTTACATTGTTTATTATTTACAGAGGTATTACGGTCTTATTCAGAAAAACCTTGACTATGCTTATATCTTAAAGCATTTTCTTTACCCTTTCCTTTTGTAGTTTCAAGTCTTACATTGTGACTTTTGATCCACTTAAGATTGATTTTTTTTAACTGGGTGAGAGATAAGAACCTAGTTTCATTATACTAATTTTCACAACACCATTTGTTGAAGAGGTTCTTTTCTTCTTTTCTCTAACATATATATTTTGCATTTTTGTCGAAAATCAGATGTCTATAACTGCATGCATTTTTATCTGGGTCTTTTATCCTATTCCATTGATCTACATATCTGTTCTGTGTGGGTACCATGCTTTTTTTTTTAACTATAGCTCTGTAGTGCATGAATTATAATCAAGTGTGGTGATACCTTTGACATTATTCTTTTTGATCAAGATTGCTTTGGCTATGTGGGGTCTTTCATACTTTCATATAAATGATGACATTGTTTATTTTATGGGCTAGCGAGATGGCTCAGTGGGTAAAGTACTGTTCAAGTATGAAGGCCTAAGTTCAGGCCTTCAGCACTCAGATAAAAATCCGGGAATGGTGGTGCACTCCTGTAACCCCAGTATTGGGGGAACAGAGATAGAAGAATCACTAGGGATTGGTGGCCAGGTAGTGTTACAAAATCAATGAATTCTAGGTTCAGTGACAGATCCTCTGTTCTAATTTATTTTCTGTTGCTATAAAAAAAAAAACTCCGTCAGGAGAAAACAAAAACAATAAAACAAAAATCAAGACAAACAAACAAACAAACAAAAAACTGAAAAAAACTCACTCTGACCAAAACTACCCTAGAGGAAGAAAGAATTTATTTGTCTTACATTTCTAGGTCACACACAGTCTGTCAATGAGTCAGGGCAGGAACTCAAACAGGAGTTTAATGCAGAAACCATGAAAGAAGGTTGCTCATTGGGTTGCTTGAAAAATTATGCTCCACTAGCTTTCTTTTTCTTTTATGTGTATGGATGTTTTGCCTGCATGTATGTCTGTGCACCACATGTATACAGTGGGCATGGAGGCTAGAAGAGGGCATCAGATCCCCTGGAACTAGGTTGTTAACCACCATGTGGGTACTGGCAATCTGGACATGGATCCTCTTAACAATTGAAGCAGCCCCTACTAAGATTTTTAAAATTGAAAGTCCTGTAACATTTAACAAAGTTAAATCTGTACTCAAAAGGAGCTATTGTAATTTTTTCTTTTTACTGACAGGATTTTATGTATCTAAGACTTGTATGTAGCTGAAGATGATCTTGAGTTCCTGATCCTCCACCACTACCTCTTAAGTGCTGAGATTATACTACATGCAGCTACAGCTACTGGAATGTTTATCATTGTAGTTGTTTTACCCCTTCTAATTTTGTTTTAAGGTATCTGTTAAGAGTGGCCCTAAGCCAGGTGTGGTTGTACACATCTGTAATCCTAGAACTCAGGTACAAGCAAGATAATCACTATGACTTTGAAACCAGCTGGGCAACTCAAAATGAAACAAAACAAAAACAAGAGTGGACATAAGCTAAAATAGTCACTCTCTAGGAGATGTTAGAGTTCTTGTGTTAGGGAATTCCTAAGAAGAAGATGAAACTAAAATCTAGCAGGAAACAGAAGAGATTGATTACTCATAGGTGAGGTGACTGGAAGTAGCAGGGACCCTTAGACCTCTCTGTCACTGTAAGATTGGTACTATCCATGGCCTCTACATACAAGATAGGCAATAGCACCCTGCCTACCTTGGTTTCCTTTTGTTGCCATCACATAATACTCCAACTTGGTGGCTTGAAATAACCTGAATTTATTCTCTCACAGTTTTAGAGGCTAGACATCTAAAACTAGTTTTACTAGGCAAGGTTGCACTGCCTTCTCTGGTTCCTGATGGCTGCTACATACCTTAATTTATGGCCACATCTTCAAGACTGGAATCTTCAAATGACTCTTCATTTCTCTATTTTTCCTCTCCACTCCTCTGCCCTCCTCTATTTTCATTTCTTGTTCCCTTGTTTTGACTTTTTGACATGGTCTCACATCTCTCAGACTGGCCTTGAACTTGCTATGTAGCTGAGGATGACCCTGAACTTCTGGTCCTTCTGCCTCCACTTGCCAATTTTGGGAATTGAGGAGCATACCACTACACATGGCCCTTCAAAGTTCTTGTTTCTTTGTCTTCACAAAGCCTTCTCTATCTGCATAAGACTGAATGAGGACTAGAGCTGTAGCTTTATGGTAAAGCACTTGCCTATCACATATAATCCCTGGGCTCCATCCCCAACACTACACACAAAGAAAAATAATACTTGTGATCACATTAGGGCCCACCAGCATAATCTCCATATCTCAATATCCTTAACTATATCATTTCTAGAATGACTCTTTTGGGAATTAAGACATGGCTATTGTTTAGGGAAGCATTTTTAGCCTACCAGTTCTCCTCAGTTTGTGACAAGTAAAGAAGT